CCACACAACTAGCTATAGCAGACCTGTCTGGAAGGTAGATTTGTTAAATGAGCTTCCCCAACATTTTGTGACCTGCCTCTTTCAAAAGCTAGAAGATTGTTCTTCAAAATCATACTCCAAAGAGTGGTCTGTTGACTAGCAGCACCACCACCAACTTGAGAGTATGTTAGAAATGCAAAATCTCACCCCAGACCTACTGTTTTGTGAGTTTTCTGTATTGTTCAAGAATATTAAATTCTGTTTAAAGGTCAAGAAAACAAATGGAATGGATGAAACTCATAAGAAGTGATAATCATTGGGTAAGTAAGCTAATAGATTATGAGACAGAGGCAACACTCAGAGGCTCAATTAAATACAAACAATCAGAGCTTTGAAGCTTGTAAGATGAAGGCAAAATTCACAAATGTGTTAAAAATAGGTAAGTTAGTAAACCTGAAAGATATTCCAAAATAGAAAATATGATTTAAGAAACAAGAGGTTTACTCGTAGATAGAAAGGGATGGAAAGACAAACTCATCACCATGCCATCTCTGGACTGAGAGCTACATCATTTCTGGATCAGCCACCCACTGAGGACACTCAGTATGGTCCTATCCTGGACCCAAAGATGCTCTACCCAAGAAACGCAAATAAAACCCATGGCTCATCAGCAGGCAAACAGCAAAGCTACAGGGGTATCTAAGTGTACTTGTCCCCACTCTCTTCGATAGAGCAAGTATGTATCATTAGCTCAGGGCATCACTAGTCTGTGGACTCCCTGTGCAAATGTCAACTCAAGTCGTCATAATCACACCATCAAAGGGGAAGGCTGATGTGAAAGAGAGAGGGACACGACATATGAATATTGTGTACCCAGGTCTTAAGAAGTGTGGTCCTTCCAACCTTGTTTGCATCATGTGTTAACTTACCCCATAGCTCTCCTCTCACTTCTGGCTGTGTGTTTTAAGCTGATTTGATAAATTGTGTGATTCAAGCATTTTAATTTGGTTGCTAAGCCTGTCTATTCCATAACTTCTGGGACAGCTGCTACTATAACTAGAGGCTAACCACTGCATCAAGGTAATTTCCCACGAACACCTACTGAATCAGAAATCTGCATTTTAAAAGATCCCCAGGTGATTCACAGGCATATTAAAATTTAAGAAGCACTGATCACGACTGTTAGCAAGAAAAAGCTCCACAAAGACAGACATTTGGATCTCCGAACTATAGTCTGCATACCATCTTGAATAAAAGGCCTCATGGACCCCCTGACAACAACTCAGAGCCCCAAAAAAGGGAAAGAATGCTAAGGGATCCATTGTTAACAACTATCATGTAAGGTTTAGAGAAGCATTGCTGCCCTTGGTGATTTTCCATTGAACTCCAGTTCTGTAAAGCTCCGTACAGTCTGAGAAAACACTCAGAAAAGTGTAGCACAATGCACCTCAACATTAACCCTGCAATCTCTTTCTTGCTGGGAATTAGGAAAATACCCTTTCTCAGATATGTCATGCTTTAAGAACACCAATCCAAAGGACATAAGGCTACCAGAAACAGAGGAAGGGTTAGATTTCCTTAATAAAGTTGCAGTGACCTTAGAAAGATCATCCAAGAACACAGTTGAGCAGAATAGTCTAGGAAGCGTCCTTAACGGCTGTCCACTTCCCACCTACCAGCAGTTGCTGACTTTATCAGCTCCAGCCATTTTATGTATTTATTACACTCACGTTGTTCCTGTCATATAGTAAGGGCTCAGTAAATGTTCCAAATTAATAGAAAAAATAATGAAAAATGTCACCCTTTCTATCCTTGATTTATCTAAGACAAATTTAATTAATTAAATCCCTTGGTTTTGAAAAATTCCTGAGAAAGAAGGCATAATTCCACATCTCAAATTAGCATGGTTCATAACACTCCCTCATTCCATATCTCAAAGTTGGATTTTATATTTTCTATTATTAATCCTATTCTGATTTTCCACAATACTATGAAACACATCAATCTATCCATTAAGAAACAATCCAACCATTTCTAAAAGTCACCAACAATTATGTATAAGGAATGCACTACACAGGAAAGATCAGCTATTATTTTGATGATTTTCTAGGTCTAGATTTAAGACATCTTAGGGCAATATCCATTTAAAATAACAATAGAAGAACTGCAATGCAAACTGAGGACATCATCACATACACAAACATCATAAACAAAGATCCAAAACAAAAGACTAGCAGTGTTGAGAATATTCACCCTAGTGAAGAATAAGATGCGAATATCAGGAAAAGAATGTAAAAGTTCTAAAGATCATTTCTGTAAGGAATATGCTCCCTATTGCTTCTAAAAGAGGGAGTGTATTTAAATTTCAAAGGAAAAGATTTAGGTTGGATCACAACTTCCCATTCCATAAATAAAGCTTTATAAAAAGAATAAGGAAACACACATATGGAATAGCTAAGTACATTCCCTTTCAAATGATCTATCAAATCCTGTTCACTCCATGCATTTAGTACAGCCAGGGACAGTTAAAGTACTCATAGGACATTAGACATTTCAGCACAGGTTTTTACACTGTCTTACATGGATTTTAAACACCATGTGTTTAAGAATTGATTCTACAAGCTCACAGAGGAAAGAGATAACCTTACAAATTTTTGTGTCTTCTGCAGCTAACAGCATGAAAACAGACACACGATAAGCCTTCAATAAATACTTATTGAATTTAATTAATAAATACTTATCGAGAAACTTATTGAATTACCACCCTCTAAGGCAAAAATCCTAATTGGAGAATAATCTCAACACTACCATCTACACCACTACCAGCAGAAAAGTAGCTCTCACAATTTCCAAGTGAATCCACTTACATGCTAAACAATGGGAACAACAAGAGAGAGTAATTGTATTATTCATTCCAAAGGGCTAAGAATGAATCTTCTGTTTGCAAACTTAATCCACTCCAACCAGTATTGCTAACTGTCCACTAAAACTCAATGCATTATCTTTCTGTTTCACAAATCTTAAGCTTGATCTATGTTCTTGATGAAATGTGTGAAACTTAAATGTATGCAATCTATTTCATTTCTTGTTATATGAAACACACAGTCTCTTTATTACATGAAAATTACGAGGCAAGCTGCTTATTTTTATAAGCAATAGTACGAAAAAAACACTTGAATTTCAAAATATCATCCCCAAAAACCTGGTTTGTTTACATATGAACCACCATATTTCAATGATAAATCCTTCAAAAGTCATTAAACCTATTACTGCGCAGTTATGTTTGGCGCAGCACAGGACCCAAATACAAGGTTGGTGCTCCATTTGGTTGAGTGGGTACTATTCTACTTGATAAATTTTCAGAAGCTGCTATCCGCCTTTAGGGAGTCAGTCACTGGTTTTAACAAACTCTTTGAAGAGTTCATTTCACTTATTCCTACCTTGCTCAGTGTGAAACAATTTAATCTTATTGCTTTCTTCTTAAGGGGTAGAAAGATAATGTTCAAAGGGTAGCACTTGCAAATGAAACACTAATGGTGAAATTTAGGAGCTCACTGGATAGGCATGAGAGAAAGGCACCTCCAAAGAGTACCTAGAATTGACGGGGTAGTGGAGAGAAGGGCAAAGGAAGGTGGCAAAGTACAGCAAAGAAACTTAGCTTACTTAGAAACTAAATTCACATCTCTAGTTATTCTAAACAGTTTAACTTGACATGGCCCATTCTGATGCAGAACTTTTGCCTTACACTAATGAAATGAAAGTTTCCCTCTTAATACCTGTAAATAATTCCACAGATTATTAACTTTATTTCAAAATAGTATTTCATAATTAAAGCAAGGTCAGATTTCTCTTTGCTACGTAAATTATACATATTCCAGCCATATATGGAAGTTTCATAAGATGGAAATAACAATAGACAATGATTTTAGATTTTGAGGAGAAAATTTTAAAAGATACCATATCAAATTCCAAATCTATCATATATATATAAATTTGGCTATATATACTGTGTAAGCTAGAAGCCCCTAGAAAGTGGTTTCAAACTACACATTCTGCCACCACAACCCTCCAGATTCCCCGAGGAGGGCACGCCAGAATCTTTGGACAGAGCTGGTGGGCAAGTACACTTTGAAAAAGCACTCCAGGAGATTCTGATACTCAACCAACCACCTCCTGCCCCTATTGCCATTATCAGCTAATAATGTTTCACCACCCGCTGCTGATGTACTTTGTGCCATTCTTCTGTACCAAATGTTAACTAAGTGAAGTCATTAGAATAGAGCATCTGAATTCCACTGGCATTTACCCAGTTTTTAAGAGGTAAAAATAAATTCATGAAGTGGCAAATCAATTTAACTTCCTTGCACAAAATTTCACTTTACAGCTGCATAACAAATTCTGAACTCTGAGCTATTTACAGTCACAGCTTTCCAATCAAAGTACTTAAGTCCGCTAACATATTTCCATGAATCAAACTTTCACCACCACGTAGCAGTACAAAAAGAACTTCCAACATTCCTCACAATCCACTTACACCTAAGTAAAGGACAACTCAGATTTTTTAAGCAAGTAAACAAAGAATATTATTTCAGGGTTACCATAACTCTCCTATTATACATTATACCTCATATCCTACAGTGCTTAGATGCAGAAAATTTTATTATTTATGGGTAATTTTAGGTAAAACTAGTTAAAGAAGTAATTCTATTTTGAATTAACACTCCTGGTTTTCAGTGTTCATATTAGTCATACTCTAGTCCACTGGAATGTATCTCACAACCCCCAAACTTCTTCACCTTGAATATTACTCAATACCGGTTTATACAACTAGAAAGCACATTAGGAAATATTGATGGATATCTCTCAAACTCCAAACTTTAAAATCACCTGACAACATGTGTATATCAACCACCTTGAATTCCTTATAGTTGTCAACTCTATTCTACATACAGTTAGGCCCAAATACTAAGAAGAAAAAACTTAGAAAAAACTTCAAAAACAAACTGAGAAAATATACTTACCTTAATTGGAGCACTACTAAACTTAATTTTCCTCTTTGCTGGGATGTCTTCTTCTTCTGGCAATCCAGTGATTTCTGAGTATTCCATATCAGGTTGATAGTAGCTGTGTTCATCACTATCTTCCTGCTCATCCTGCTCAGTGCCCGTCTCTCCCCAGTCTGAATGATACCTGGATCTGACCCTATACACACTATAGTCACTGTGCATGTAAACGTGGGAACTCTCAAAATTATTGGAATCTTCGGGTCCTTCTTTTCCACAACTGGATCCAGAAGCATCAGGAGAGGTAAAATCACCACCTGCTAGTTGTTTCTTCTGTTGCCTTGCTGCCTCACTCCCACTCAAATTAGCTTCAGCGTCTACTAAAGGTTCATTTTGTGGTGAAGGGATTTTAGACTCTGGCATTGCCTTATCCTCAGCACAAGGCTCTTCGGCAATGTCTCTGTCAATTCTGTCAGTAGTCTCTTGGTTAGAGGTGGAGTGCTCAGCTTCCTTGCTCTGCTGTGTCTCTTCACTAGGCATCGAAGCTAGAGAGGTACTTTTTGAAGCCACTTCTGGTACTGGAGTTATATTACTCTTCTGAGCATCCTCTGCATCATCACCATATTTGCTTGGAGGAGACCAAGAATTAGAATCCTTAAGGTGACCAAAGGTGTCAAGATTTGTAACAGTAACAGATGGTAAATTCAGGGGGTAATGCCCAGTCACCGAGTACTCATTGTTTTCAGCCTTCTCGGAAGTGATGGCACTGGAGGAATCGGTGTTCTCAAATACTGCACTCAGTTGACTCACGGTTGGGGAGACAGCCTCTGTCCGGGAGCTAAGGCTGTCCAAGGAATCAGTACTGCCTCTGTTGGACTTCAAACCACCCCATTCATCCTGAGGTTCACTCCCCCCAGCTTTCTCTTTCTTTGGGGAATATCGGTTGTTTTGTCCTGAGTCATGCACACTTCTCTCAAACAACTTCCGAGTTTCTGTGAACTTAGAATATGAAGGGCCATCACACATTGTGTCAAATCTACTAATTCGTTCTGAAACAGAGGACTCCAACTTAACAACCGAGCCATCTGTTTTCTCCAGAAATTCTTTGGGCTTCATTCTTCTCTGAGGAGATGAAGGTCCACCTTTCCCCCTTGTTTTGGCAATGACTGCAGCATTCTCATTGGGTTCCATACCCATCTGCATAAATAGGTTTTTAATTCTGTTGACATTGGAGCCATATTTCCTCCCCCTGCTCTGCTGGGAGCCCTCACCTTCTTTTGTTTTTTGTTCTCCATCTGACTTGGGTTTGTCAAAGGTACTTTTCAGTGCCTGGAACTCAGTTCTATACGCATTCCTGTGAGGAGAGGCACTTCTGAGAGTGGTTCGTTCACCTGAAGACTCAGCTTTCAACATTTTTACTTCAGGAGTAAAAAGCCAATGTTCATAATGATCAGGAGGAAAAAAAAAAAAAAAAAACCTCTCTTCTCTAATCACCAGTATCTGGTCAAGAAAAAGTACCTCTCAAATGTCATACTGTGTCAGTGATCCTCCCAACAGGTGTATTAGGAAATTATTCAGTCAAGAGTTACACAAAATGGCTTTTCAAAGCAAGACTAGAGGTTCATCTGTAATAGAAAAGAATGAATTTTTGAATTCATTTACTTATTTGAATTTATGTTTAGTCAACTAATATACACTTTTCAAAGTGGCTCAGCCACACCTCAAACAGAAGACTTACTTACTGAAATGGGAATTTAAAAGCCAAGAATTGAAAAGTTATAACTCTGATTGGTCTTTGGTAACAAAAACGTTTCAAACAATTTGGAGATCCCTACCAAAATCAAAAACATACACACACACACACACACACACACACACACACACACGTTACACATAAGTGCACTTGAAAGCAACACTTTAGCCAAGTTTTGGTTGCTTTTGTGAATGACCTTAAAAGAAACCAGCAGTTCACAGATCTTTAAGAAATCATCAAACTATCCAGAAAAGTGAACTTCACTTGGGATTCTCCACATCAGGTAGAACTTAGATTCATTCTAAGTACAATTAAAAGTTTGGAATCTATGTTTACAAACTCCAAAACATGCCTATAGAGGCTTATTTCACTCTTTCTGGTCCAATATTCTCATTTACAGCAAACCCAAAGCAACACTAGTGCAACTTCAGACCAAAACACGCAGAAGAAAGTTCTTAAATGGCAATAAGTTTCACTCTAACTTCAGTTATACCAAATATTTGGAAGTTTCCTAAGAGTGGATACTATTAATTATAGAGTAGGATTTAGACTATCATGGGAATAAATGCATGAGAATGTGATGATCAGAAAAAAAAATATACCATGAAACCTCTTTTCACAGTCCTGATTTGTTTATTCCTACTTGCCTCTAACTTACTACAAGCTCAAAATGCAACGCCAATGCATGCCTGCTGGTTTCCTCTAGCCCACAGCTGGATTTTACATCACTATGCCAGTAATCAAATACTCCAAGATCTGCTGAGGAGCAAATAAGGTAGTTCTAAAAGATTTTTCGTTTTGTTTTTGTTTTGTTTTGTTTTTTAATATTAGGCCGAGCCATTATCGCCCTCACGCACAATCAGCTGAGGAAGCACACACTTTCACTTAAACCGTCTCCAAACTCGGCTCCTGGCCCAGCACGCATGCATGGCCCATGCAGACAAACAAGAAAGGCTTCAGAGTGTGGTGCCTGTTTTTTTTGTCAAGCATCGACAATCTCCTACCCTGACATTTGTTTAAGCCTCACACACCCTCCCCTCCCCCCTGCGCACACACCCCACTCCCTCCCCCGCCACTTCCAACCCGAGGGGGCGGGGGCGGGGGAGACGGGGCCGCCGGGGGATTCAAAACCTGCCCTCACAAAAGACAAACATAAATAACACCAACTTGAGAGGCAGCCGATTCCCAAGCCTGGTTCGGGACGCAATCCCTCGGCCCCGGGGCAGGGCCGGGAGAGCAGGTGACGCCAAGCGCTACGGTAGGAGGTCGCAGTCTAGCTTTGTGCCAAGAAGCACCTGAAGTCCTAACACATTGGCTGCGGCTCCCGGCGGCTGCCAGGCGGATCCCAGTGTGGCACGGGGAGAGCCGAGCTCCCTGGCCACATTAAAAAAAGAAAAAGAAAAAAAATTACAGGGTAATGATAATAAATCCCTTTGTTTTTCCTCCCAATGTGCCAGGAAACAATAGATCCCACTGATAATGCCTCCGATCCTCAACCTATCGCTCCCCAACCACAACCCACCCCCACCCCCAGCCTGCAACTCAGCCTTTGTACATGCCGGTTTTTTTCCTCTTCATCTCCACCCTCCCCGACTCCTCGCCCCGCGCACAGCCTCCCCCTTACCCGAGCGGGAGCCGCCGCCGGCGGGGAGGGTCGGGCGGCCGCGGCTCCCACCCCC